ATACTCATAAATTTTAAGTGCAATATTTTGACAAACCGATTGGTACAAGAATGGTATAAAAAAACCAAGAACGAAATTTAGCTAGATACGTATATTTCACATATATTGTTAGACGCAAACAAACGATCAGACTTATTAAATGGATGTATTATGGATATTGACCATTGCTAACAAAGAACATTATTAAAGTTTGACTCAGCTTTTATATCAAATAAATAAGATGAACGGACAAATGCATACTGAAATGCACATACACATGCGAATAAGGTACAATATGTACGACCGAATAAATATGCATATAAAAAGATATACAATGTGATTCATAAGAATAGCAATAACATACTTAACAGTATGCTTTTCAGTGTTTTATACACGAGTGGATAGAAAAGGAAAAAATAAGAAATGGATAACTGTAGATTGTTGGTATGCAAAAATGGAGACTCAGACTTAAATAACACGAACAATAACCTGTTTTCATTAGTAGAAAGATGCTTATATAGCATAGTAATCTTTTTCACAACGTCAGTGTCATTTAAATGACCAGTAAATCCATACGGGGTCAACAACAATTGAGTTTGTTCACCAAAGATTCTCAAACCGTGATCATGATTGTCAAACACGAATAAAGTCAAATCATGTACGTGGTACTCATGACTCAAATATGGTATGAAAATCCCTGCATGATAATCAAGAATAGAGTATTAGTGAGTGGTGATTTTCGGCAACTTCGAGCTCTACAGTTATAAAACTGAAATTATTATGTTTCAATGGACAACATTTCCTATTGTGTTATCCCTTTGGAACCAGCATCTGCCATCCCGCCACATGGAATGGAACTCAACTACTTTTGAAATTGTTGTTTTAATTGTTGAGTTAATAATAATAATTATCATTATTATGGCACTAAGAATAATTATGAATTTATAATTAGGAATGGGAAGAATGTTGTGAGGAGTACAACTCATTATGAAAGGTAAGGGACGGAATTAGAACAACGAATGAAACAGCATCAATGTGGACCAAGATAAATGCTGTGGTAGTATTCTAATAAACTGATAACTTTTGATTGACACGGCTTTTTATCAATTATGGAAGGCGATCCTTGCCAAGTTAGATCGGCGAATCCGGTAAACCTACATGCCTATCACGCAGAAAACAGAAATATCGCATGTCATGGAATGACCTCAGGTACTTAACTATTAGAAGCCAAAGAGAACTGACCAACTGTTTCATCCGGGTATGGGACACCTCACCAGTTCACATCCGCAACCTCAACAAGGACCCGGTTTCGTGTCGAGTGCCTGATCGCTTGTACGAACAGCATGAAGATGTGGTAAACCTCCTTTTCTTTCAAGAGGAATACAGCCATGACCAAATTATTTTATCTACTTTTGATGCTTAGCTGCTGCTGATGTCCACACGATAATCTTATTTCTTTTATGCCGACTTGACTGTTTCATATTCAACTGTTACTAACAACCTACTACTTCCCTTAGTTGGTTCTTTGTCTAAGTTATCTTCAACACTAATACTCTCATCAATCTTAACTACTATATCTTGCGTATTATCCATTGATTGTGACTTCCGGTTGTTTCAACAAAACTAATCGCAAGCCACCTACCGATTCGTTGAGAAAAGGTCCAACTCTAGATTGATATCTCATATTACCTAACGCTTAGCCCACAAGGATAACAAGCACCCTGGGATATTTTACGGGATTGCAAGCAAGTAATTTTAGGAGGATCACCATAGCTACGGGCTGGACTGGCACATCATATACTACACCTAAGGAAGAATGCCAATCCAATCATGCGCAACAGCGCATAACTCTGGACCGATACTCAAATCAAGTATTTGATGTGAAGCATACCAGTCTCAGATGCAGCCAGCTACAGACTAACTAAATGGCTTCCAGTTAACATCAACTGGAGTACATTGTGAACCTTAACACGACTCTAGTTACGCTCACACTCCTACTGGCTCCCCATATTCCACACAATCAATGTCCACAAAAATCCTTGGCTCATCTCTTGTTACCTGGACAGACCCACGCCGCTTGCACACCCCGAGACAATGATCACGTCAAGGAACTATTGAGAAGCTGAGGTCACCGGGATAAGATGAACAGTGGGAGCCTCGGTAGCGAAACTTGGTCGCCAGGCATCCTACACAACCGAAGCGGCTTGATGGTAACCTGTGCTTAACCGGCGAACCACACTAAGTTGCATTTTCACACTCGACAATCATCTACGGAGAAACCTTGTCAACCAATTTATGTTGGCCGAAAACCCGTTACTCAACAATGTAACACTGGGTGTACGCAATTAAACTGGAGGCTGGGGTAGGTGGTAACTAACAAGCATCACCCTCTGTGTAGACAAACACACCTACATCCTATCGACTCGGCAGATCGAATAGGTCACAAGTATGTTGCGCTGAAGACTACTCTCCGGAAGTATGTATAAACGGTCTTGGTTGGTCCATCCCACAACACAGGTCAATTGCGCCGATTACTCAAGTTAACTAAACCCAATTCTGTTCACACACCCAACTACCTCTGCAAGCATTAAGAACTTAGAAAGTTGAAAATTCTGTTCCCACAGTAACTAAGTAAGAACGAAACCAAAGTGACTGATCATATTTATCACACAAACCAAAGGTACATGATGCCTCGTCGGAAATGGACGTCCCCGGACTTTGAATTAACCTAAAATGGAAACACAACACATTTAGTTCTGACAGGTATTTGCAAAATCAGACGAGGAATGTAATCGCGCATCATTCAAGAGGTGTCACATCATTTCATTTACTCACCTTAGACGATCGAGTCGACAGTTTTCAAGTCCTCATCTGGAAATAGAAAAACTTGGTAAGTGAGATTGTCAGTAGAGAGGTTAAAATCACAAGATCAATTGAAACACGGAACATCATTTGGCATGCCAAAGAACTCAGCGATATCTTACCATGTTTTTTTCGCAGCCCTCTGATGTCCCTCAGAACGATCACAGCAGACGGCGATCTGAAAAGTGAAAAGACGTGTTAATGGTTCAAGAAATTATCAGTGAAGCTATATCGACTCATGTCTATCATATGAACTATGCGGCATCATTAAAATTAATAAACCTTACCTAATCTCGCGAAAGTTGACCATCAACCATTTGGTGCATGCGAAGACCAAGCAACCACCTAAGGTTAATCAAAAAAATCCCAGGTTACGGAACAAGCTTCAGATAGGGGCGTGTGCGGACACGAGTCCAGTAGAATTGTCAACATCATTTTAATACATATAGAAAAGTACTTACGAGATGCATTTATCCAGCCAGTTTTTTCCTCATCATTCACTGAAGATTCTAACGGGTAACTGGGAACTCTTCCCACTATATATTAGACTGGAGGAAACAGTCCGTATGGTTATCATTTTCTTAGACCCTACAATGAGATAAAACACCGTGTAACGATAGACAATCAGGGATAAAGAGTTCGTTTCATAAGCATCAATAGCAGAACTGGAAAACATCATGAATAACATATCATCGGCTACCAAAACCTTACCGCAAGCGACGTGCAACACCAACCACGCTCTACTCCCCGCTCTAGATCGTGCGAAAATAAATAGGCGGAGAAAGTCATATAAACAAGCAACCATGTTTTGTGTTCAATTCTAGTCGTTAAACCTTTTCAAGCAGTTAACATAAAAGACTAAGTCTTGGTTAGTGACGTCTTGCCTAGCATTTATTTGATCAAAATTCGAGCATTACATACATTTTTAGTAGGTTTGTCCAACACCTCGAAGTGTCTAGGAAGCTTATTGCTGACACCGAGTACGACAAACGTACTCTGGATAGATTATCTCACTCTATTCATCTCGGATACACTCTTTTCCCCATTTAGGACACTTCAATCCTCATGAAGTCAATTTCTACGAGCGTATGTACATTGGAAGTGATAGCTCTACTGAAGCTCAGTTCTTCAACCTCATTGAACTTATTTACTTACTTACGCCTGTTACTCCTCGTGAAGGAGCATAGGCCGCTCACCAGCATTCGCCATCCGACCCTGTCCTGTGCAATCCTTTCCAGCTCCTTCCAGTTGTTATTTATCCTCTCCACATTTGCTTTTATTTCCCGACATAATGTGTTCTTTGGCCTTCCTCTTTTCCACTTCCCTTCAGGATTCCAAGTTAGGGCTTGCCTCGTGATGCAGTTTGACGATTTGCGTAATGTATGTCCTATCCATTTCCATCGTCTTTTCCTAATTTCTTCTTCAGCTGGAAGTTGGTTTGTTCTCTCCCACAGAAGGCTATTGCTGATGGTATCCGGCCAGTGGATGTTGAGTATCTTGCGTAGACAGCTATTTATAAATACTTGTACTTTCTTGATGATGGTTGTTGTAGTTCTCCAAGTTTCAGCTCCATACAGTAGAACTGCCTTGACGTTCGTATTGAAGATTCTCACTTTGATATTGGTTGAAAGTTGTTTTGAGTTCCATATGTTCTTCAATTGTAGGAATGCGACCCTTGCTTTGCCGATCCTCGCCTTTACGTCTGCATCTGAACCTCCTTGTTCATCGATGATGCTTCCAAGGTATGTGAAGGACTCTACATCTTCCAGAGTTTCGCCATCAAGAGTGATTTGATTGCTGTTCTGCGTGTTGAATTTGAGGACCTTGGTTTTCCCTTTGTGTATGCTGAGGCCTACTGATGCAGAGACTGCTGCTACACTGGCTGTCTTCATCTGCATCTGTTCGTGTGTACGTGATAGGAGGGCTAGGTCGTCTGCGAAGTCCAAATCGTCTAATTGATTCTGAGTTGTCCATTGTATTCCGTGTTTTCCTTCAGATGTCGAGGTCTTCATAATCCAGTCGACCACCAGAAGAAAGAGGAAGGGAGAGAGTAAACAGCCTTGTCTGACTCCAGTCCTTACTTGGAATGCATCTGTCAGCTGTCCTCCATGCACTACTTTGCACTGTAGTCCGTCGTATGAGTTCCGGATAATGTTGACAATCTTCTCAGGAACTCCGTAGTGTCGAAGAAGTTTCCATAATGTCCTCCTATCTACACTGTCGAATGCCTTTTCATAATCAATGAAGTTGATGTATAGTGATGAGTTCCACTCAACTGATTGTTCGACGATGATCCGTAGTGTTGCAATTTGGTCTGTGCACGACCGATCCTTACGGAATCCAGCTTGTTGATCTCGAAGTTGGGCGTCTACTGCATCCTTCATCCGGTTCAGCAACACTCTGTTGAAGACTTTCCCTGGTATTGACAGTAGTGTAATGCCTCTGTAGTTTTCACATTTGCTCAGATCTCCTTTCTTTGGAATCTTGACGAGGTGTCCTTCTTTCCAGTCCATCGGCACTTGTTCCTCCTCCCAAATCTTTTTGAATAGAAGGTAAGCATGCTTGTGGTTGCTTCGATGTCTGATTTCAGTGCTTCAGCTGGTATGTTGTCGGGTCCTGCTGCTTTCCCGTTCTTGATTTGTCTGACGGCCATTCTAATTTCTTCCGTCGTTGGTGGGTTGACATCTATAGGAAGATCTATGTGTGCTGCTTCGATGTCCGGTGGATTCATTGGAGCCGGCCTATTCAGGAGTTCCTCGAAGTATTCTACCCATCTGTTACGCTGTTGTTGAATTTCGGTGATTGGCTTGCCTTCTTTGTCTTTGACCGGCCTCTCTGGTTTACTGTATTTCCCTGCTAGTTTCTTCGTTGTATCGTAAAGCTGTTTCATATTTCCTTCTCTAGCAGCTTTTTCTGCCGTCGTTGCTAGTTCTTCCACGTATTTCTTCTTGTCGGCTCTAATGCACCTCTTCACTTGTTTGTTTGCTTCTATGTATTCAGCTTGTGCTTGGACTTTCTCTGCTCGTGTTCGGCTGTTGTTAATTGCTGCCTTCTTGTTCTTCCTTTCTTTGATCTTGTCCAGTGTTTCTATAGAGATCCATTCCTTATGATGGTGTTTCTTTAGGCCCAGAACCTCTTGACACGTTGAAGTTAATGCTTCCTTGATGCCTTTCCAGTTGTCCTCCATACTAGTTTCTTCTTCTTTCAGTAGATCTTGTAAGGCTTGGAACCTGTTGTTGAGAGCTATCTTGAATTCATTGAGCTTGTCAGTATCTCGAAGGAAGGCTGTATTGAACCTTTGTAGTGCTGTTTGTCCACTTGTCCAGTTTTTTTTTAGCTTCAGTTTTAAATTGGCTACAACTAGGTGGTGATCTGAAGCTACGTCAGCACCTCTCCTGGTTCTTACATCTTCCATTGTCCTTCGGAATTTTTTGTTGATGCAAATATGATCTATTTGGTTCTCTGTAGTGTGGTCCGGTGAGATCCATGTAGCCTTGTGTATACGCTTGTGTGGAAATATTGTGCCTCCTATGACCAATTTGTTGAATGCACATAGATTTGCAAATCTTTCTCCATTTTCGTTTCTCTGTCCCAGTCCATGTCGTCCCATGATATCTTCATATCCGGTGTTGTCTATTCCGACTTTGGCATTTAGATCTCCCATCAGAATAGTTAGGTCCTTTCTTGGCATTTCTCAATGATTGACTGCAGCCGCTCGTAGAACTGATCTTTAATGTCGTCGTTGCTATCATTGGTGGGTGCATAACATTGGATAATATTCATTAAGATCCCCTCCTTCTTTGTTTTGAATGATGCTTTGATGATTCTGGATCCGTGAGACTCCCATCCTACAAGTGCATTTCGTGCTACTTTGGACAGCATAAGAGCGACTCCCTGAGTGTGTGGAGCATTGTCCTCCTCGTGACCGGAGTATAGCAGCATCTCTCCCGTAGCTAGCCTTTTCTGTCCAGCTTGGGTCCAGTGGGTTTCGCTGATTCCCAGTACTGCTAAGTTGTATCTCCTCATTTCCATTGCTATTTGACTGGTCTTCCCGGTTTCCCACATTGTTCGAACGTTCCATGTACCTATAAAAATTTTTGCTCTGGTTGTTAGAAGGGGCATCGGCCTCGTGGCTTCCGAAGGAACTCGGCTTTCACCATGAAGCGTCATAATTCTTCTAACTGAAGACCTTCTAACTCCCAGGGCAGAGTTTAAATGGTTTGAATTATTTTTTTCTGGTAAGCGTTTTTTTAGCGAGTTAGTTTTCTACGGGATGGGGACGCTAACCCCATGCCCAACCCTCCTCCTTTACCTGGGCTTGGGACCGGCAGTAACTCTAGAAGAGCTACAGGCGGAGTTAACCTCATTGAAGATTTGGGATTATTCGAAAATGTCAAGTGAGCAACTCAATGAAGAAATAGTCAGACGCCTTCATACTTACAGTGATCGTTTACAAGCAGAGAATTCCTGGTTGACAACCTCTCCATCCTGACTCCGTCGAGAAGTGATCGTGCCATCATAGCCTTCAATCTTACCAGCAAACCTAAGCTAAAACATCCTACTAACAACAGGCATTCGAATTCCGAAGTTTGAGATGTGCCGGATTTACAGAACGATCTACAGCACGTGGACTGGGAAGTGCATCCTCAATTTAATAATAGTAATAACAATAGCTTGAACGCTTAATGGGATTTTTTACGAGCTAAAAACCAGTCTGTCCCGCAAACAGTCCTCTAAAATTACAAGCAGCGTACAGTCATAAATCATCGCACTCTTCTAATGTTAAGACTCTAAAGGTACTGTTAGGTGAATTACAAACGAACCAGTCACGACAACACTTATAGGCGGTTCAAACGAGCAAGGAAGCAATGCACAAAGGCGATAAGCGGAGACAGAGTACGGTATCAGATAAAGCTAATCGATAAATTCGTCTCCAGTCCGAAAGGCCTGTTTCGTCATGAAGCTCCTCTTCTAAATGCTAAAAGCAAAGTTCTCTAGTTGTTAGGTCTTGATGTCTCAGCCAACAACGACAGTGATACCCCCGAAATTCTGGCAGAACAGTAGTTTCAAACATTTCGACCGTTCCCACTCGTGATCTGGTGCGGATGCGTGGCCGAGTGCCTTCAGATAGGTGAGTGCATTAAAACTAATTCGGTCTGCATCAAATGTCCAAGACTTACAGGGCTATTGATTTTTGGGATTTGTTCACTGCTACACTATAAACATTCAAGCTATCTGTCGATTGCATTTCTCTCAATACCCTGAAAAATTACGGGGTCCCAGATATACAATGGTCTAAGAGACCACAGACTTCTTTGTACCCTAACAACACGGTCTCAATAAGGATCACTCCTGTATAATCAACCTGTTGACCACGGTGAATCAATTGAAAACCATCTTTGATAGCAAGAGGAAGGTTGATGTCATATATCTTGATTTCTCAAGAGCTTTTGGTAGGGTCAATCATGCATATCTTATCGATAAGCTTGAACGTCTGGGTATCAATTCATCACTGATAGATTGGTTTACTTCATATATGACTAATCGACTTTTAGGGTCAGGGTAAGCGTCCTTTTTTCTCAGGCAACAGAATGTCACTGTGGGATTCCTCGGGGTTCACTACCGGGACCTCTTCTCCTTTTAGATTATATGGGTGCCCTTCCTCAGAAAGTATCGTCTGATTTATTGCTTGTCGCTAGCGTTGTGAAGCTTCAAAGGGAAGTTTGCAACCAAGGTGATAAGCCGGCGTTTGGGGAGTACCTGGACCGACTTTATGACAAAGATCATAACTAAGACGGGCTTCAG